CCTGGACGACCGGGGCGTATAGAAACCGCGGTGAGAGACCACCCCCTGCGCACCCCCTACGGTGTCGAGACAGTGGCACGCCTGCTGTGCCTGGACGACTGGCGCGTATAGGGACCGCGGTGAGAGACAGCCGTTGCGCACCCGTTATGGTGTCGAGAAGGTGCCACGCCTGCTGTGCCTGGACGACCGGGGCGTATAGAGGCCGCGGTGAGAGACCACCCCCTGCGCACCCCCTATGGTGTCGAGACAGTGGCACGCCTGCTGTGCCTGGACGACTGGGGCGTATAGAGACCGCGGTGAGAGACCAGCCCTTGCGCACCCGTTATGGTGTCGAGAAGGTGCCACGCCTGCTGTGCCTGGACGACCGGGGCGTATGGAGACCGCGGTGAGAAACCACCCCCTGCGCACCCCCTATGGTGTCGAGAATATGCAATGCCTGGTGTGCCCTGGACGACCGGGGCGTATAGAGACGGCGGTGAGAGACCACCCCCTGCGCACCCCCTATGGCGTCGAGAAAGTGCAACGCTTGCTACGCCTGGACGACTGGCGCGTATAGAGACAGCGGTGAGAGACCACATCCTGCGCACCCCCTATGGTGTCGAGAAAGTCCCACGCTTGCCATGCACTGCGAATCCTACACGCACGTTTTATATATTGTGTGTCATGTGTATGTGTATGATGTGTGCGCGGCCTGATGCAGTGAACAGGCGTCTTGTGTTTGCCCCTATGATGTCGAGAAAGTGTCACGCTTGCCACGCACTGCGAATCCTACACGCACGTCTGATATATTGTGTGTCATGTGTATGTGTATGATGTGTGCGCGGCCTGCGATGCAGTGAATATGCGTCTTGTGCTTGCGTGTGTGTGTGTGTGTGTGTGTGTGCGAGCGGCTGTATGTAGACGCGTGTCTCATGTACTTGCCGCGCATGTTGTTGCATGTGTTGAGCGCGGGTGAGTAGAGGAAGAAGAGGAGGGGAAAAGTGAGGTGTGTGAGGGTGTGTCGCGGGTGCGGCGCGGCAGGGAAGAAAACCATAACCCCACGGAACATGTGGGGAATAAACGCACATAAGCGACACATGTTCTTCAATTTCCGAAATATCCGTGGGTCCACGTAAAATAGACACTTCGCTCTCTGAAGCGTGTTGGTTGTAAAGTGACCCGTCTGAAGCGAGGATATGTGAAGTGGCGGATTCCTAATGGGATCCACAAGGACCCTTAGTGGAATCCTATCGGCACCCTTCCCACGGAGATTCTGTTAACACCAGATGACACCCATTGTTATCCAACACGATTCATCGATCTGGGGCCTACGGGTGTCCCATTAGAATCCGATAGGCATGCTTCCTATTGAAGCCCGTTGGGGCCGTTCCCAATGGAAACCGATTGGGAACCTCATTGGATTACAATCGAGGAAACTTCCTTTTGGAATGCTGCGGGGAGTGTACTGGGGGTACTATATGGAAACCCGGTGGGTATTCTTGCTGGTTCTCATTTGGAACAGTAGGAACCGTCGTTCTTGGAATCCAATCATAATCATATGGGCGACTATGAAGGGCATCGCATTGGAATCACATCGGGATCCTTCCTTTTCGATACATACGGAGACGCTACCTGGACCCCATCAGAACCCAACGCTCAACAAAAATCTGTCCTCTTTGACTCACAGTGTGCCCCGATTGGCGTCCTATTGTTTTTCCTTGTGGTGTCCCTAAAAACCGATTGGAACCCAATTGGCATCCCGCTACAGGCTGGCGACAGGTCTGGGCGGTTGAAGCTCTTTACATCCATGCCTTAAATCTACGTTTGTTGGGGGGGGGCTCATAACCTCTGCCTGAAAATCCTGCATCTACTGGACGTAGAGAACAGCAAACATTCGCACGCAGAGGAACACGCGCGCTCTCAGGAGAACGGAGCTGTGGCCAAGAGGTTGGTCAACTTCTAGCAAATACACATTGTTTGCCTCGTAGGCATACTTAGCCCTCGCGCCTCGTCGCCTGGCTACGCAACTGTATGGTTTGTGCAAACACGCGCACCTAGGTAAACGGAACTGTGGTCACTACATGTGGATGTCAAATGTCTGTGGATTGCATCATCAACCATGTTTGCCATCGCGCCTCATCGTCTGGCAATAGCGAAAAACATGGTGCATCAATTTGTTGCGGAAGCATGCGTGCCCAGGAGGGCGGAAACGTGGCCAAGAACTCCATGGTAACGCTCTAGCCGACACTGTGTGTTTGGCCTCACAGACAACGTTCGTCCTCGCGCCCTCTCGTTTGGCAACAGCAAAACCGTATATGTTCGCATCCGCGGTCGCATACGTACCCAAAAGGGCAAAACTGTGGAAACGAACTCCTTGGTTGAATTCTGGCCAATGCATGTGGACTTCAAATTGCGTTTTCTGTATCATAAACCGACCATGTTTGTCCCCGCGCCTCATTATCTAGCAACCACGAAAACCATATGCCTTCGCAAGTGCGAGCATGCGTGCCCAGGAGGGCGGAAACGTTGCCAAGAATTCGATGGTGTGGATGACAATTTGCTGTGTTTGGTATCAAAACCATGTTCGCCCTCGCGCGTCTGGCAATCGCAGAACCGCGTGTTCCCGCATACGCGGAAGCATGCGTACCGAGGAGGGCAAGAATCTGGCCAAGAAATTGCTTGTACATATCTAGCCACTGCACGTGGATGTCAAGCTGTGAGTTTTCCATCATAGGCCACGTTTGTCCTCGCGCCCCATCGTGTGGCAATCGCAGAACCGAGTGGCTGCGCAGTTGCGGAAGCATGCGTACCCAGGAGGGCGGAAAATGCTAAGAAATCGTTGGTTACGTTCTAGCCAATGCTTTCGGATTTCAAGCTGTATGTTTTGAATTGCAAGCACTTGTTGTTCTCGCTTTGCAAAGGCATCAGAGCGCTCAGGCGCTCGGCAGCCTCTGCAAAGCGCTCAGGCGCTCATGAGCCTCTGCAGAACCCTCAGGCGCTCAGAGGCATCGGCAGACCGTTCAGGCGCTGAGAGGCTTCTGCAGAACTCTCAGGCGCTCATAAGCCTCTGCAAAGCACTCAGGCGCTCATGAGCCTCTGCAAAGCACTCAGGCGCTCATAAGACTCTGCAAAGCGCTCAGGCGCTCAGGTGCCTCTGCAGAACGCTCAGGCGCTCATGAGACTCTGCAAAGCGCTCAGGCGCTCAGGTGCCTCTGCAAAGCGCTTAGGCGCTCAGAAGCCTCTGCAGAACGCTCAGGCGCTCATGAGCCTCTGCAAAGCGCTCAGGCGCTCATCAGCCTCTGCAGAAAGCTCAGGCGCTCAGATGCCTCTGCGAAGCGCTCAGGCGCTCGGGCGCTCGGATGCCTCTTCGAAGCCCTCAGGCGCTCAGAAGCCTTTGCAAAGCGCTCAGGCGCTCAGATGCCCCTGTAGAGTATTCAGGCGCTCAGAAGCTTCAGAAGCCCCTGCAGGGCGCGCACGCTCTTCTGAAGGTTGATTGTGAAGTGGCCGTTCTGGTTGCAAAGAGCCCCGTCTGGGTTGTAGAGTGGTCGTTCTGGCTGCAAAATGGGCTGTTCTGGTTGTAGAGTGGTCGCTCTCGAGGGAAAGCCAGGGAGTTCGATCCCTTGCTGCTTGTGAAATGGCCTACCTCGGTTGTCAAGTGTCGCTCGGGCTGTAAAAAGGGACCGCATCTCGGCAGCAGCGGCCCGACCGGGCCCTGCCCGTCGGCACCGCCGGGGCCCGGGCCCCCGTCCCGCAGGTGGGCCCCGGGCCCCGCACAGCAGGGGCCCGTCCACGCGAGGCCTTCCGTCCACGAGTAGGGGGAAAACAAACCTACCTCGCTTTTGACCACCCTCGCTTCCAAGAGATACCAAACGATGCCAAATTGCGGCCTGTACTGGTCAGGCCGCTTGACGAGGAGGCGCGTGGTATGGCTCGGTTTCGCCTGGAAGCGAAAGCGGGGTAGGTAATTCACGCTCTGAACGAGGGCCCTTCCGCCCCAGACCCCCGACGTCATGATTTTTTCATGACGTCGACCCCCCGAGGTCTCGACGCATTCCCCGGGACCGGTTTTTCGTCCCGAGTCGTTTTTGGACGGTCCCGAGGGCCGGTCCGGGCCCCCAGAGGCCAAAAACAGTGAGAAACCTCCCGTCGCGATTTCTTTTCATAACTCGAGGGGGTCTGGGGCGGACGCCGTGCCGCTGCGGGGAGGCCCTGCGATGCCGGGCCCGGGGGAGATCAGCCCCCCTCAAACGGGGACTCCACTAACGGGTACTTTGGCCAGTGGCCCAGCGAACCCAACCCTTCCCGATGTGGGCAAAGCTGCAATGCAAGAAAAAGGCCCTAAAGTGGCAACTTTCGGCAAAAATTCAAAGTACCCGTTAGTAAGTACCCGTTACGGTGCCGTTGGGGAGAGCACGCAGCCCGCCCGCCAGGAGGTGCCCTCCTCCTGCTCGGGCGGCAGGCGCCGGGCCCCCCTCGGGGGCCGGCGCCCCTGCCTCGAAGTCGGGCGTGTCCCTCTACGCCAGGAGGGGGGAGGGGGAGGAGGAGGAGGAGGAGGAGGAGGGGGGGGGAGGGGGAGGGAGGGGCGGTGAGGGGAGGAGGAGGAGGAGGAGGAGGAGGAGGAGGAGGAGAGGGAGGAGGAGGAGGAGGTGGGAGGAGGAGGAGAGGAGGAGAAGGAGGAGGGGGAGGAGGGAGGAGGAGGAGGAGGAGTAGGAGGAGGGAGGGAGGAGGAGGAGGGGGGGAGGGAGGGGGAGGAGGAGAGGAGGAGGAGGAGGGGAGGAGGAGGGAGGAGGAGGAGGAGGAGGAGGAGGAGGAGGAGGCCTAGGCCTAGGCGGCCCCACGCTCAGAAGCGAGAGGGAGGAGGGTTCAACAACTAGTCCAAACATCACGCGGGGACGATGTTTTCACTGTTCTCGACCCTGTTTGGATTTTTGCTTTAAAGTATGTTGTGCATGTTGGGCCAAAATCCGCCTGTGGGGGACATGCCCGACCGAACCCTTCCTGGAGAACGACCCCCAGTCGGCGGCCGGCCCGACCGCGGGGGAAGAACTGCACCGCCCCGACGATGGGGATCTTGCTCACCAGCGGCTTCAGGCACATCGACGCGGAGCTGCTGAAGCGGAGCCGCGTGATCCCGACCTCGCGCGCACGCGACAGCGAGGGGAGGAGGAGCACGTCGAGGCACGGGAGGAACAGACACGCAGCCCCCCGGGGGTGGCGACGGCGACAGCGGCGGACGAGACGGCGACTGACGAGTGAAACCGCAGCGGCGCGACTCGAACTAGAAGAAAGGAAGAGGAACAGGAAGAATGGGAGGAGGCTGAACAGGAAGGAGGACAGTATGAGGATGGTGATGATGGCGGTGATGACGGTGATGATGATGATGCTGATGCTGATGCTGATGCTGATGATGATGATGATGATGATGATGATGATGATGATGACGATGTTGATGTTGATGTTTGTGATGATGATAATGATGGCGGTGGTGGTGGTGATGGTCATGGTGATGCATCGAGCCGCATCGCCGATGCATCCGCGATGCGGCGCGATGCTCCGACCCCATCTGCTCGGACTCCACTGGACTCCACCTGGGAGGCCTAGACCCAGACATCCGTCGTCTCGATGTTTCGAGACGCGGGCCCCCGATATCCCGACCGCTTCCCCAGGACCGGTCCGTCATCCCGAGTCGTCTTTTGACGGTCCCGAGGCCCCGACCTGCCGACTACTGTCCCCGGACCTGCCGACCACTGTCCCCGGACCGAATCTTCGTATCTTCGTCCCGCGTCGTCTCTGACGGTCCCGAAGCCCGGCGAGGGCCCCGGGAGGCCCAAAACGACGAAGAACCTCCGTCTCGATTCTTTTGGAGGCGCCCGTTGCCTGGGGAGCATGGCCCCTCCCCCTCCCCCTCCCCCTCCCCTTCCCATCCCAACCCCCACTCCCCACCTCCCCCTATTCCCCATCCCCATCTGCCTCCCCCCCCTTCCCCTCCCGTTCCCCCCCCTTCCCCCTCCCCCTCCCCCCTCCCCCTTCCCCCCTCCCCTCTCCCCCTCCCTCCTCCTCCTCCTCCTCCTCCTGCTCCTCCTGCTCCTCCTGCTCCTCCTCCCCTCCTCCTCCCCCTCCTCCCCCTCATCCCGCCGGGCGGCCTCGCCCACGCGCGGGACGGACAGCTCGATGCGGGCGCTGGCGCAGTCCTCGGCGGCGGGCGCGGCGGGGCCCAGGCGGCCGAGCGGCCCGATGGCCGGCAGGGCGCTCCCGAGACGGATCAGCCCCTGTGGATCAGCCGTGCGGTCGCTGTCGAGGAGGAGGAGGAGGGGGAGGGGAGGGGGATGGGGAGGGGGAGGAGGGGGGGAGGAGGGGGAGGGGGAGGATGAGGAGGAGGAGAGGAGGAGGAGGAGGTGGTGGAGGAGGAGGAGGAGGAGGAGGAGGAGGGGGGGAGGAGGAGGAGGAGGAGGAGGAGGAGGAGGAGGAGGAGGAGGAGGAGAGGAGGAAGGACGGGAGGAGGAGAGGAGGAGGAGGAGGAGGAGGAGGGGCGCCAGGCTGTACAAAAGGCCTGCATGGTTTCAGCGTTTCTGCATTCGGGTCTGGCCGCCGTTTTTTGTACCCGCTCCCCACCTTACTGATCAATGTTTTGTTGTATTGCGTGCATCGCTTCAAGTCATTGTGTATCGTGCCCACTGCTTCCTACTTCTCCTCGTACGTATTTTTCAACCCCGTCTCACGTCGTCCCTCATCACCTCCGCTCTCTCCCCACTTTCTTCTCACCATTCGTTCTCGCAATCGCTCTCACCGCCTTTCCGCCCGCTCATCCTCGCGCTCTCCTCCTCCTTCCCCTCCTCTCCATCACCATCATGATCACCATCATATCATCCATCTCAACGTCCTTACTCTTTTCCCCCATCGTCCTCCTCATCAGCATCACTGACACCATCATCAACATGATCGTCGCACTCATCAGCCGCATCATCTTCATCACCACCACCATCACCGTCATCACCATCACCATCAGCACCATCACTATCGCAATCAGCATCATCACGATCAGCATCATCATCCGCATCTGCACCATCCGCATGATCGTCATGTTCATCATCAGCATCAGCGTCATCATCACCATCATCACCATCACCATTACCATCATCACCATCGTCCTCTCTCCTCCTCTTCCTCCTCCTCCTCCTCCTCATCGTTCGTCCACTTCTCGATCCTCTCTCTCATCTTCCAATTGCTTCATTATCCAATGCCCCTCTCCTCCTGAAATTTCAACTCCGCCTTCTGATGTGGATGCTCCTCCTTCTTCTCCTCTTCTTTCTCCTCCTCCTCCCGTCCTGCCCGTCCGGCTCCTCATCGTCCTCCTCCTCCTCTTCCGTTTCCTCCTCGTCATAATGGATTCCTCGTCCAAATGTATATCGCGCTCCGTGCGTTCCGCTTGGGTGAAGTTTGTTTGGACATGCGCCCGCGGGAAAACAAAAACGCCTGAACGCCCGAACTAGGACGGCCAACCCGTATCAGATCACCGCATTCTACTCAGCATCCTCCTCCTCTGCTTTCCTGCCCTCCTCCCGCGGCGCAGACCGCCGCGGGCCTGATGGCCCCGGCATCCTACCCCTGGCGCCCCAGTTGTCACCCGTGCGCCCCAAACCTACACGAGCAGTCACGCTGGCGCCAACGTCCTTCCTCTGGCATCTTCACGCCCTCATGCCCGAGGCTCAGCACCGAAATCCCAACCCGACATCATAGCCCTAACACCCCAGCGCTAGTCCTAGCATCCTAACCCTGAACATTAACCCCATCCCAGACAACGCAACATTGAACCTATCGCATTGGCGCAAACGCTAGACCCATAAACGAATTAGCCTAACACCCTGGTCCTTGCACCCGTGCGCCCGTGGACCCTCAACGTTATACCCGAATCCCCCAAACCTGTCTGTGATAATTCGCCCTAACACCCTATCTGCAGCATCTTAGCCCTGTCCCTAGCGACCCGACTTCAACGCGCTAGCCTTAATCGCATACCCTGTCATCCGAACACCTTATCACCGTCACCCCGGCACCCTAGCTCAAATTATTTCATCCCAACACTGACGCTGCACACCTGCGCAACATGCAGCCTGGTCGTAGCGCCGTAAACCTAACACTGGAAGCGAACCAACTCTTAACGCCACAACCCGACCCGCACCAGCTTGTCTCTAACACCTTGGCCCGAACGGTATCATCCTAAGCTCGGGAGCGGCCAAGACGGGGGTGTCCAAGAGGGGGGGGGTGCAAATCATGACCAGCGGCATGTGCGCGGCCCAGCGGGGGGGCCAGGGACGTAAAGAAACAAGAAGAGGCGCCCTGAGATCTGGGCAAATATCATGGCCCCCGCCATGATATCCACCCCCCCCTAGTCATCACCCCCCTCTTTTCCGCCCCCGATAAGCACGCCACCGAGGTCCTCGCGCACTAAACCTGAGCCCCCGTGCCAGCCTAACCTGGATACCCTGGCCCTAGCCTAGCACCCTGACCCTAACCCTGGCCTCCTGCCCTTACCCTGGCGTGCAATGTTGAAGCGTCAGTGCGTTGCCTTGTGCCCTAACCCTTGTCGCGCCAATCCTTGCACCCTAGCTAACTGTAGCAACCTAGCCTGAAAATTGTCCCTGGCCTGGACACCGTGACGGTGACCCTGCGGCCTCAGCATGAGCGGATGGAAGAGGAGGAGAAAGGAGGGAGGAGGACGAAAGATGAGAGTCCACTCCCTCCTCTTCCTCCCACAGGGACCTACCTCCTCCTCTCTTCCTCGTCGTTCTTTCTCTTCGCTTCCTTCGTTCCTCTGTTCTCCTCATTATTCTCCCCCTGCTTGCTGAGTAAGCTGCGATGCATATCTTCTCACTCCTGGGACCGAGTGCCACTGAGCAATGTTCGGGATGATGAGCGGAACAACCCGTTGCAAAGTTACAATCGCAGTCTCAGGGATGGTGGTTGGTCTTGTGCTATCTCTGATGGTAGCTGAATCGCTGAGGGGTCCGTCGGTACAAGTTTGAGCCCCTTGTTCCTTAATTAGGCTTGCCTCTCCTGGGACGGAGGCCAGCCGGCGTTAAAACTGTTCCATCAGAATTCCAGCTGTAATTCCTTGCCGCTCACGCGCACGCCATGTCCGTGACCATTTGGGCTCAGGCCGTTTCAGATACCCCCTCTGCAAAAACCCACCCGCCCACACCATCTCAGCAATGTCCGCCTACGGGGGATGCCCCTAGAGATGCGCACAGCGGTACATTGCAATCATGTTGTAAATGGTGATAAGGAGGAGGAGGAGGAGGAGGAGGAGGAGGAGGAGGAGGAGGAGGAAGGGGTGGCGACTATTGTGGAGCAGGAGCATGTCGAGGAAGAGGTGGAGAAACATCTGGAGGACTACGGGGAGGAGGAGGAGGAGGAGGAGGAGGATGAGACGATCGATGATGATGAAGACAATGATGTTGATGATCACGCTGATGATGATGATGATGATGATGGTGATGATGATGACGATGATGCTGATAAGGAGGATGATGCGGATGATGATGCTGCGGCTGATGATGATGAATACGATGGTGATGATGAAGATAAAGATGAAGATGAAGATGATGATGATGGTGATGATGATGATGATGCTTAAAGCGGCGACGACGATCGTGAGGATTCTGATGATGCGTATGTGGATTATGGTGGTGCAGATGGCGATGATGGTAATCATGATGCTGCTGCTGGCGATGCTGATGACGACGATGATGAGGATGAGGTGACACCGATGATGATGACGGTGCTGATGGTGATGATGATGTTGATGGCAATGATGATGAAGATGGTGATGCTGATGATCATGGTGCTACTGATGATGATGCTGATGCTGATGTTGATAATGTAGATGCTGATGATCACGATGATGATGATGATGATGATGATGATGATGTTGACTGGCTGATGAGGTTGCTGATAATGACGATGCTAAGTATGATGCCCATGATGCTGACGATGCTGATGATGCTGCTCATGATGATGGTGATGATGATGCGGAGGAGGAGGAGTAGGAGGAGTGGGAGGAGGAAGTGGAGGAGGACGCGGAGGCGGATGATGATGATGATGATGATGATGATGATGATGATGATGATGATGATGATGATGATGCTGATGATGATGCTGATGATGATGAGGGAGGAGAACACGGATCAGGCGGAACAGGAGGTGGATAAAGTCGGCTGGTAAATTCAAGGATGGTTGATGGATACAGGGAATGAGGAAACAGAGTGGGATGGCGCAGGTGGATGAACGAGGAACTGAAGTCAGGGGGATGCGGAAGGGTGATAATATCATGATGACGATGATGCTGCTGCTGATGATGATGATGCTGATGCTGATGCTGATGATGCTGCTGATGCTGCTGATGCTGCTGCTGCTGCTGTTGCTGCTGCTGCTGCTGCTGCTGCTGCTGCTGCTGATGATGATGATGATGATGATGATGATGATGATGATGATGATGATGATGATGATGATGATGATGTGTGTGAGGAGTGGGCGGGCGCAGGTGAAGGCAGAATTGGGACGAGGCAGAGGAGGAACAGGAGGAGGCGGAGAAGGAGGAGAAGGAGAAGGGAGGGAGAGGAATAATGATGTGGAAGATCAGGAGGAGCTGGGGGAGGAGCAGGTGAGGAGGAGTAAGAGGAATCCCAGACCCAGAGGAAGTCTGGCCAACAAAACAAAATCCATAGGATTTTCTAAACATCAAGGTTTCGCTTGAGACATCCTCGAAACTTTTGCTTTTCCCCGATTGCCTTTTGCCCGATGTCTCAGGCGAAACTTTCTGCTTGTTTCTAAAGATTACCTCAAACCCAAGGTTTCGTCTGAGGCATCTGGCACCCCAGATCAGCCGAGGGCGCCAGCACCGCAGTGCGGCCACCGGTAGGGGCGGGCGACACCCTGCGCGTTCGCTCTGACGCGCCAGTGCGGAAGCCCATGCGCTGGGAAACTGCATCTGTATAAAATTGAGATGTGGCTCGTGCAGAAGTGGGATTAAACAACAAAAAAAACGCCATAAGCATCAACTTTTGGCGCTCCGCGCGAACTTCTTGGATCTGAGCTGGACTCCCCTCCCAGGCGCGCGGAGCGCACAAAAGGGGCGGCGCCGGAAGCGCCGCATGGGGGGGGGCCCAGCGCGGATCCAAGAAATCCGCGCGGAGCGCCGAGAAGTTTATGTTTATGCCGCCCTTGATTCTTCGAGAAATGTGGCTCGAGCAAAAGAGCTCGGCGAAAGCAGGTGCCATGGATCGTCGAAGCACGTCGCGCTC